CACTATCCACTCGAGGTCGGTGATGGTAAAGAGGGAGGTGTGAGAGGGGGGTGCCAGTGTCGGAGGGAAAAAGTAAGAAGAGGGAGAGAGGGGGAAGATTAGGATTAGGAGAGAGGAGAGGAAAGAAGGGAGGAGCAGCCATGAACATTAAGAATAGGAGAGAAGAGAGAGAGAGAGAGGAGGAGGAGGAAATAAGGTTATTTTTAGATTTTATGTTTTTTTCTTACCCTATACTTGGTTGGCGGGGAATAAGGGCTGAATCACGTATTTTTTGGGTTTTGGGGGCTTTTACACATAAGAGAAAAGTGAAGCGCTATTCACACGAGCCGATGAAAATTGGGATCTTGACATAATTTTCCCAAAATTAAAAATAATAATCTCAAAATCCTACAACTCAAGGAACTTTTTTTTGGGAGTTTTAGGGGCTGTTTGGTTCGTTTCCTTGATATAGAGAAATGCAATTCCATGTAAAGAAATATAAGTTTTGAGTTTTTCAAACTTTTCCAAGAAATAATGCAATTCCATGTAAAGAAATATAAGTTTTGAGTTTTTCAAACTTTTCCAAGAAATAGATTGTTTTGTTTTGGTTCGCACATAAAAAAAATATAAGTTTTGAGTTTTTCAAACTTTTCCAAGAAATAGATTGTTTTGTTTTGGTTCGCACATAAAAAATGGTGAGAAACCAATGTATTTATTTTTCTTGTGTTTGGTTCGCATAAAAAAAAGGAAAACTTTTATAAACAAAGCAAAGAAGGAAAAAATCTGACGTGGCAGAGTTTTCATCAATTTCACTCGGTTGGGGAAGGAAATCGGAGAGGGAAAAAAATCTGAGCTGGCGGCGATTTCAGCAGAGTTTTCTCTCTTCCATCCGAGCGAACCAAAACGGCACAAAGAAATAGACGGAAACAAAAAAACTGACGTGGGGGGCTAAAAATCTGACGTGGAGGGGATTTCTGAGTTTTCCACCCCTTATAATAGCGAACCAAACAGTCCCTTAGGGGAAAAGAAAACGGAATTGAATTGGAAAAAGAAGAAAAGGAATCAACTACTTAAAACTAAGCTCTTACTAATAATCAAGCCTAATTCAGATTGCATACTATTATTATTTTTCCTATGTATAAGAATTATGAATTTAAATATTTCAATTATTTATATATAGATAGATTTATTTAAAAAGAAAGAATAAACAGGCCCAGTTGAACTTACAACCCTCAGCGCGGGACGAGCCCAAAGTCAAAGTAAACCTAGATCCACGTGTTCTTTTCCTATTGGTCCAAACACCAAAACACAGCCTCTCATTGGCTCATTCCACAAATCTCCACGTCAACAAAAAGCACAACCCCTCAAACTTCGTTTAAAAAAAATCAAAATTTTCCTCGCAAAAAAAAAAACGAGGGAGATCTGAGATTTTGTGAAGGTCGAAGTCCCAAATCGAGCAAAACCCTAGCGCCCAGCGAGCTCCTCCGATGGCTCGCCCGAGATCGAGCTTGCTTCTCTTCGTCTTCGTTCTATCCCACGCTCTCTTCGTAATCGGAGGGTAAGAATCTACGCTCACTTCGTATTTTCGAACGATTTCGATCTTGGATTTTTTTAATGATTTTGCTTGGTTCGGCTTGTGATTTCAGGAAGAATTATTACGATGTGCTTCAAGTTCCAAAGGGAGCGTCTGATGAGCAGATCAAACGAGCTTACAGGTACAAATCGCTCCGTGTTTCTCCATTTTTCGTCAAAGTTTCGATTTATTATTATTTTGATACTGGCCCCCAAATCTCATCTACTTGAATATGTCAGTTATTTGTAATGATTCCTTGTCAATCCATTAAAATTTGCACTCTTGGCATACAATCTACAATTAAGAGCTTATAACATAATTGGTGAATTTTAATAGATTTAGAAGGAGATGTTGCCTGCTAGAAATGGGGAGTTGAAAGATTATTTATAACCCGAAATGATAATAAAAAAAACTTAATTGTTGATACATTGGTTTGGGGTTAAACTAATAAATTTAAGCTAGAGAGGCTAATTTGGAGTAAGATTTTGAAGACTTATATTGTATTATCATGTTTTGACGGACTTCTTTAAAAGTGAATGAGATTCGGGGGACTAATATCATAAAAACCCTTCTATGTTTTAAATCTTATTTGAGTTCTTAATTTTCAACTCCAGGAAGCTTGCTTTGAAGTATCATCCTGATAAGAATCAAGGGAATGAGGAGGCGAACAAGAAATTTGCAGAAATCAGCAATGGTACATTTTCTTGCCATCAAGTTTTTGTCTGATATAGAATTTTTTGGAGGATAAAGATTTTGATGTTTGTTTTTTTAATCAGCTTATGAAGTTCTAAGTGATCGTGAGAAGAGGAATATTTATGATAGGTATGGGGAAGAGGGATTGAAACAGCATGCTGGTGCTGGAGGGAGGGGTGGAGGCATGAACATGCAAGATATATTTAGCACGTAAGAGGAATTTTCTCTTAGTTTGATTAAATTATATAAATTAAATGTCGTTCATTGTTACTACTGCTTTTGCAGTGTGGTCGAGTTAATTTTATGGGTAATGGTAACCTGGCTACAAACTCTATTACTACTCTTTTACTGGACGGCACAACAATTAAGGTCCTTAGAGATACATATTTTTTATTCTATTAAAGTTCAAGAGGAAGGAACCTCTATTTTGTGTCTTGTAGGATGAGAGTAGCATAACCTTGGTAGTATAGATTGCACTTTCTAATAGGATTATCACATACAATTTAGTATATTAATTTTCTTTTAGATGATTGTGGAAATATCCTCGATTATTAATTGCTTCAAGCCCCAGTAAATATGTGCCACATTAGTGTGAAGTATTAAATTCCATTTTCTCCATTTCCATTATCAACTTCCATCATTAACTGGTAAGAGGTGTTAGGTTTCAGAGATGAGTAATCACACGACAAAATTTTGACTGCTGAATTATCTATGCTTAAATACTTCTTCATTGATGCAGACCTTACATTTGACATGATTGCAACCATCTATGACACGAATGAAGCTTAAGCCGGAGTTTAGTCTTTCTAAGTTCTAACCTCCTTAATAACCCGTTTGTTACCATCCAATGATTTGCAGTAACAACACAATATTTCATAGAAATTACCCCCATGTTAACAATCTCTAAAAGTTTGGCTCAAGGTGTGATTTTGGCAAGAAAACTATAGTATGGTAAAGATTTAATATCCCACTCAGAATTTTCAGGAAAACATCCGTTTATTCTCTTTCTACCTGATGAGCTGAAAGATCTTCAACAAGAACTACAAACATCACAACATAATCATGAAATTTCTGAAACTTTTCATTAATAGTCGCTGAAAATCTCCAAAGCAACAACAGAAGATGAGAGACGATCCAAAGCAACAACAGAAGATGAGAGACGATTACCTGCGTAATCTTCATATAGTTGAGGCTTGACATAAAAAGTCAGGATCATCTTCCTCCATCTGAGGTCGCTTGCCCTTATCTTTCTGCAGTTGGGGAAAATCTCGATCCCGCCATTGCCCAAATATGCCTCCGAAAGCTCCTCTAGGGTTTCGAAACCCCCTCCCATTCTGCCATCCTGATCGATGATATGTTGTTGTCGCCCATTGCTCATGAGCCCTAGCACGCTGCAACTCCCTCATCGCCGCTGGATCACAAACTAATCTACAATTTCTTGCCTCATGACCTAAACTTCGACATTTCTAGCAGATCAGAGGTTGATGGTATTAGTGTGCCATATGACCCTTAGATCCACACTGTAAACAGAGATTAAGGCGCTTCACCTCTTCAACAGAAAGCAATCTAGGGTTTTGATTGGTTTTGAGAGAGGGGAAAACTCTAGATCTAGGGTTTTTCTCTTTGACCACTCCACCCGATTTCCCTTTAAACAATATTCCTTTGATCTGCTTCTGAACAACACGCGGGGTCTAATCCCACCGTCCCTTTCTTGAGCACAAAAGATTGATTGGGCTTTGGGCGGAAGACAACGAAAAATTCAAAGAAATCTTGGAGAAATCTTGGACTTTGGATCTTTGGATCTTTGGGCCTCCTGACCTATTTATTTCATCATCTCTTGCTTAAATAAGCAATGACAATCAATATTCTGCACTTAAAGGGAAACTTAAGATTTCTGTTATCTCTCGACTTTCAGGCAACTCAACTGACATATAGAAGATTATCACATATATAATATATGGCATGAAGATTTCTATTATGAAACACCATCACATTGGACGCATAACAGGAGACATCTGTAATGATTCAACACTTCTGTAATCTAACTAATAAAAGTTTAAAGCATCACCACTATATAGAAGTGCCTTATTCATCTACTTTTCTGCATTTTCCATTATCACTAACATCGGACTTATTTGACTCAGGTTCTTTGGTGGTGGTACAGGCACGGAGGAAGAGGAAGAGAAGATTCCAAAAGGTGATGATGTAATTGTTGATTTGCATGCTACTCTTGAAGATTTGTATATGGGAGGTACTTTGAAGGTATGTATCTCATTACAACTCTTAGTATCTTAGTCTCTGACCTTTGCCCTATAAATATGAGTCGGTGTTTCTTTGAGTCTTAATTGCCTTTGAAAGGCATCATTTTTTGCATCACCTATTATCTCCTCAGCGCTTTGTGTAAGTTTTGATGCACATCTAGGAGTAGGATTTCCATAGTTCTTCATAGTTTGTACATACATAAATGCATGTGTATGTATGAGAAAATTTTGAGTAATATAAGATTTTCTGAAATTGGTTTCTCAAATTATCAATAATTTGAACGTCTCCTAAAAAATGATTTTTTAAATATGTCTCCAAATTAACTATGTCACACAAAGTAGGTCTTTGTTAGTGTTTTCTGCTCACCTCTAATTCAGTTGAG